TGAATCAATCCATCCTAGCCAAGCAACGCCAATTGTGACAAACCGAGGACTCGTAGTTATGTTTTTACGTTAAAATAATAAAACAAACTATAAGGACACAGATAAGGGGATTGAGTGAGGACAAAAAGTTTCCATTTAAGCATATTTTATTCTTAATTTAGCTTATTTTGTACTTGTAGCACAGAATACACTTATTCGTTGACAGGGTAAAAAGACAGCGTAAAAAAAGACAGTAAAGACAGCGGTGGTTGTGCTGCGCACCCGGCTCTCTCAAGCTGTTCCAAACTTCAGGTAGGACATTCTCTGGAGTTCTACTGGGGAGGGAATGACTCCAGCTTCAGAGGACCACCGGGGACCACACATCCGGTCTACAAAGAAGCGCCCCCAGCTGCGCATTAAAAGCGCCTCCAGAGCCATCAGTGCCACTACCTGCTACGCGGCGACACCCCAAACACACACACACACACACAAGCCGAGCGACCAGCACCCGGAAGTACAGACGGCAAGCGGGACAACGTCAATATTTTGAAGGTTTTTTATAGTGTGCCGTCTGGCGCCCCCAGCTGGTGGGCGGATAAACTGTCCACACTACTACACATGCAACTACTATTAACCATTACAACTGAAATGCTAAAAATAACCCCAGCCGTTTTTTTTTTTGCCACAGAAATCACAATTGGAAAATCTGCTTAAATGATTCCACCATAAAAGCAGTGTGCATACTGACCGTGGAAGTGAAACCAAGGCAGGGTTAGTCCAGGGCGACAACGGGTAAAAATAGACGATTATGAGAAATCTATAAATGTTAATGCTTGAACCGCTAATAATTGTGTCTTTCTGATGACAGGGCGAGCGACAGTGGTGGGAAAGAGTGAAATGGTTTGAAGCCAGTTCATATCAGCAGATAACAAGAGCTGCTGACTCATCCCTGTTCCTGTGAAGAGTCAGGGCTTTGTGTGCTTTTCCTTCTGTTGTCTGGGACCGTGTTCAAACTGTGGGTGGCATATGGTCAAATATTATAGCTGGGATGATAGATCAACCAGTGTGGAGGGGTATGAAATTTCCACAGTTGGATTACCGTGAAGAAAAATACCAGTCAGTATTTTGCAGTGTTAGACAGTATTTATTATGCTCAAGAAAAACTATTCTTTATCCTGGATGTTCAAGGATATTGTTTTTGCACTTCAGGAAATGTGCAGACCATAAGAAATTTGAGTTGAGCAGTCTTTTTTCCTCAATTTGTGTAATGCAGTCGCAATATAGTGTGCATTTGTGACACTGGTGTGATCCGGAGAGGTGTGTTCATTTCCATGCACTGTTCCAACCAAATACACAATACATTGAATTGTGGCCAAAATATTGCAACACTATCATCACATATTTGCCAATTTCCATCCCTATGTCTCGCACTGGTGAAGCTCTCCAGAACGCCCACTTACCGTCGCCCCCTGGATCACATAGACCAGATTTTTATTCAGCTGAATCTGAGGCGGATAAGCCGTGGATGTCGGGTAAGCGCAGAGAGGAGCGTTCTGGAGCGTTCTGAAACCAGAGTCTGCGAGTCTTCAAAAGCTGAAGGAACCCCACCACCCCGCGTCCGTTTCCTCCTGTCACAGTTGGTTTAGATTCACGGATCTGGACAATTCCTGCTCTTTGAGGACAGAGAGCACAGCAGGGTCACAGAAACGAGCAAACCTTTGTGATTTCAACTAGTAGTATGTTAACACCAGAACTTTGAAACTACTAGAACTCCCAGAGCAGTCATTTTGACAGCTCCCATTCAAATTAAGGGAATTCTGAAATAATATAAAAAATACAGGTTTTTTTTTTTTTTTTGCCACTGCTTTGATTAAAGTTAAGTACTTGTATGTATGTATGGACATTTTCTTCTGTGTGTGCTTTATATTTTTCATGTGTTTTAACCGTTGATTCTCTGATCTGTGTTGGTGATTTCAATTGTTTTGTTAAGTCTCTGAGATGACTTCTGTTGTGACCTAGGGCTATACAAGAATAAGTTGTATTGTGTATTGTATTGTACTTCATATGGCTATTTTCTTTAGTACATGCTAAAGCTGGTTAATATAAATGAAATACAGCATGTGTTGCTATGGTAACTAGCACTTGCTTCAAGCTGAGATTGCTCGGAATCAGTCTAGGACCAGTCCAGGATCAAGATAATTTCATAATCATAATTGTATAGATATAAAATACACAAGATTTGAAGACAAAAAATTTACATAAACGGAGTAGTTACACTTCCGAAAAGAAAAGTCATCCAAAACTGCTCTGGGGGTTCTATTGTTTATCTACGTAAAACAGGTAGGCTCTGCTGATTTCTTGCTAGCTCATCATAAAAAAAGAAAAACTGCATAAAGACTCAATGCAGTGAATATTGTGGAAAAAGGCAAATAAACTTGCGTTGCCATGCTTTAATAAATGACTTATCTAGTGGTAGAAGTGTACATTATAGGAAGTTGAAAACGTCATCTTTTTACCGAGTGTATAATGTTGTAATGAGATCCAAAGTATTGTATAAAACGGCCATTTCAATTGGGTATGAGGCACTGTGGTCATGCCCAAAACTAGCCTCTCAATACTGCTCTCAACCTACATCTGAGCACTAAAACCATTTCAACGTCTGTGACTATGTCTTTCCTGGCGTTAAATGTGGAAAAATACAATGACACATGAATGACAAAGTGCTGTAATGCGTCTTCCATTTAAATGAGTGACTTCTGCGACAGCGCTCCCCCCGCCCTCCTGCCTGTCACTCAAACTGGATTTTTATGACCTCCAAGTCCCTCCGACTCTGATGAGATGACATTTGAAAATATACTGTCAATGAGGGAATATGTCACACTGACTGCTCCTGGAGTTATGAGACGGCGGGAGTCGTGTCAAGAGGGTGCGGACAAGTCTTTCTTTTTTTCTTTTTCCTGAAGTAATACACATACTAGTTATAGGCCTTGTTATAATAGCTGTAATTGTACATTGAAAGTGGCATTAGACATTATCTATATTGTTGGAGTATTAAATTGCATTGTTAAGGAATTAGGGGTGTGCCCAAATACCTGTATTTGGATTTACATCACAATATTTTGACTCACGATTGATTTAAGCTATTTCCAAGTATTGATGTGTTAAATAACGTAGTACCCACGAGACCCGTCAGTGTACTCTATTTAAAAGGTTGGCAGTCAATTGAAGTCAAAACCCAATGAAGTGTTGGTACTATTGCATTTTAACCCTCCTTTTAAAGCGTATTCCTACTGATAAACGACCACATTACTTCATTTACTCTGAAGATTAAAACCCAAATGCAATCGGTGGATATGCAGGCCCTGAAAGATACCCAGGCCAAATAGATAGATACATGTAGCTGAAAGATATAAAAGGTCCCAGGGCCTAATTATAAGCCTGTGAAAAGATAAAAGGCCATTCAGTCATACTTTTGTGCTTGAACAAACTGAAAAGTGTGTTTGTGATTGAAAAGAGAAGCTTCCAGCTCTCACCTTTGCCCTGCTGCTCAGGTGACGTGACTAGTTTTAGTTCTGGAAGCGTGATTTCTCCTGCCATGTACATGTTTGGCTTCTTGAACTTCATGACTTTGTCTCTATTTCTGTGTAGAGAATTTCTATGCAATTACTTATATTAAACAACCTTTTATTTTTTAATTGTGAGTAGTTCTAGCTTTAACAGTTATTTAGGTGCTAGTTACCATAGCAACACACTGTTTACAGTCTGCAGTTAGCCTTCACAATTGTTTTTGCTGTATTACATTTATATCCACCAGTTTTAGCACTTAGTAAAAGTGAGTAAAGGTAAAAACAAAGTCTTATTTTTTACTAAGACTGGTGTAAAACTAAACTACTCCCATTCAGACTAATGACATTTCTCAAAATTTCATTGGTTTGATTGGGAGCAATCAAAATTATGGTTATGTGCGATCTAGTAGTTTCAGACTTCTGGGAGTCCTTGTGTTAAATGGCTGTATTCGGTCTTACTATTCTGACGTGTGCAATGTTGGCCACCCGACGCTCGGACTGATCCGGGGTGTTATGAAACGCTAATGCAACAAAAGAACCGCACTTTCCACCAGTCGCCCACGAGCAGGGAGAGCACACGACTACAGCTGCACACCGCACATGATGTCTGGGAGGGTTTCAGCTGTGATTGTATGGTACGCTCTTATACTCCACCACTTCTGCTGCTGTGACCTAAAGGGCTGTTGCATTACTATCACTGGTGACTTTGAGAATTATGTATTTATTTGCATAGATGGATGCATTTCTGCTGCGATACACCTTCTCTTCTCCTACGAGGATCAATAAATTATCTATCTATCGTTTGGTCAAGGTAACACAAAATAATCATTGTGCTTGTTCCATGTAGGCCCAATTCCATAGACATCCAAAACAACCCACATAAGATTTTATCCCAGATTTTACGTGGCCTTTCTTTCTGCACTTTGGCTGGTACTACACCTTCTGTACTCTAGGACTTGAAAGACAGGCAGTTTCTTATCTTGTTTTTGTTATTAAAAAGCGACTGCGGTCTTGCAGGGCTTCCGACGTAGTTTTATCGTGCGAGTAGAAATCACTGCTCACAAACTTTGACAAACAAGATTTTTACTATGAGCCATTGCCATTCCACAAATCTAAGCTGTAACTTGCACATTCCTGTATTTAAAATCTAAATATTTGGTTACTATACAACTATAATCCTATGACTGTGCTATTATGATGCAATTAATGTGAAATACAACCTATAACCTCTTTATCTAAATCTAAATCGTTTGTATTTTGTGAAAAGTTCCTTCACATTCAATTTCCCTATAAACAAGAAGTGGAGCTCTGGAGGAAGTGTGTTTACTGCCGCTGATAAGACAGACAGCTCTGGGAGATATGAAAATAGAAATCCCTGTCTAAACTTTGTTATCAGCTGTTGTTCTAAATGGAGTTTTTCTGAGGGATAATGTTTTTTGCAGTTTTAAAGCCTACCTGCTCCTGGGCAGAAACATGGACTCCTTGATGAAGACGGATCCGGATAAGAGGATGTACCAGCAGCTCCCAATGTCGTCAGGGCTGAAATGGACAGAGAAACATGTTAGATGCATGTGACTGGACAAACAAGGATCTAAAAAATATATATTTATTTCTATTTGGACATTCAGACCTTTGGTTTTAGTAACTGAGCAAGGAAACTTAACATGCTTGTTGCCTTTGGTGCAGTCAGAGACAAAAAGGTAAATTTATTTTTAATTTTATGTAGCAACATGTACTGAGAATGCAGTAGCTTTCATGAAACTTCTCAAAGTTGTGGACATTCAAGAGCACAGGTTTAAAGATGTTTCATATAAAAAACAATACTAGAGTGTGCCATCGGTGACTCCCACCATCACTCCGTCCCCACGGTCAGACAGCTGCATGTTTAAAGTGTGTGAGGAAACTGGAGCAACCGGAGGAAAACAACCCAGAGGAAAACTTCACACAGAACTGGGATTGAACTCACAACTATAAAGCATGAGTGCTCTGTTTTATAGTATTTACAATTCAAACAAAAATCTGCTTTTGTTTTTGTCACACTGATAGAAAACCGTGTATTCGCGGACCGGCCAACTGATCTATCATAAAAAAAATAAAAATAAAATACAATTAAAATTCCCATTGAGTCCCAAGTGATTATAACTCATTGTGTTATGAAAGGTATTTTACGTGGCACATGACGACAAATGAGGATGTCCACTTTCTGGGGTTAGAGTACAGCTGATCCCTGGAGCCAACAGAGGTCACACAGTCCAGAGGGAAAAGAGAAAAGTCCTGTGAGAAAGAACTACAAATGAACTCGTCTCATCCGCCCACACGCTGGAACCAGACAAGAGAACGGCGAATATAAATAAAGATTACTTCATTACAGAGAACCGGGTCGACTCCTCCAGACAAACTCAAAATGACCCTCTGTTAAATAACATGAGATGCAATATTTGTTTTCTTTTGGGCTCTTAACGTGATCTTCAGAAACAAATTGAAACATGCACACATACACACACACGCATGCGCGCACCAGAGCATAATGTGAGTTTATAAGTCTTGAAAAGTGAAGGATTTCCATGTAATGTCCTATACCTATGTCCCAGTTTGGATAAGCGCTGCCACTTACTATAAAAGCCATTACAAGTCTTTTCCATCTTTCATGTAGCTTCGGGATTGAGATAATCTAGCACCTCAGAGATACGGTCAACCTTTCATACATGAGGGATTAGCGGGAGCGTTAGCCGAGCTAACGGATAAACAAACTCAGAGCAGGGGGATAATGGCAGCTAATGCATGCGCTCATGAATATGCAACCAGACTCATAACTTATCTGCACAGATAACATGTCATCTTTAGAAAGGCTCTGGATCTACAGCCTCAGACCTGGATGTACAACCTCAAACCTGGATCTACAACCGCTCCGACCTGGATCTACAACCGCTCCGACCTGGATCTGCAACCGCCCAGACCTAGATCTACAACCCAAGACCTGGATTTACAGCCTCAGTCCTGGATCTACAACCGTCCTGACCTGGATCTACAACCGCCCAGACCTAGATGCAAGAGCTCTGGTGTGTGTCGTCTTCTCTGTCTGGTGCACACTGGGGTAGTCTTGCACAGTTTTTCCAATGTGGTTTTACTGCAAATGGCAAATAAATGAATCTGAATCTACAACCCAAGACCTGGATCTACAGCCTCAGTCCTGAATCTACAGCCTCAGACCTGATTCTACAGCCTCAGTCCTGAATCTACAGCCTCAGTCCTGAATCTACAGCCTCAGTCCTGAATCTACAGCCTCAGTCCTGGATCTACAGCCTCAGTCCTGAATCTACAGCCTCAGACTTGGATCTACAGCCTCAGACCTGGATCTACAACCCCAGACCTGGATCTACAGCCTCAGTCCTGAATCTACAGCCTCAGACTTGGATCTACAGCCTCAGTCCTGAATCTACAGCCTCAGATCTGGATCTACAGCCTCAGTCCTGAATCTACAGCCTCAGATCTGGATCTACAGCCTCAGTCCTGGATCATTGAAGGACGTTCATGAACATGCACACGCATTGCTCATCACCTTATGGACCAATGGCTCCTGTGCTTTGGCATTATTGAATTTCCTGTCTACAAACGGTATGATTCTCTTATCCGTTGTAATGATGTGTGCGAGGAATGAGGAAGGAGAACTGTGTAGCAGGAAGTTATGAAGTCATGACAAACATGTGCTGGGTAAGAGACAACATGATATGTCTAGTTTGACTTTAGGATGATCATGACAGAAGAGAAGTACTTTATGACAACTGCATAATAATAATTTATACAAATTACAAAAGGCAAGTTCCCATTTCAACCACAAGAGGGAATGATTTACATATACTCATCAGAACAAATAATGCATAATAAATACAATTGATTTGTTCACATAATTGGATTTTCACCCACAAGGAGTTATGTCCTTGTAAGAGAAGTTTCACAAACTGAGCTAATAACGGCAAAACTTTCTCACCTCTCACTTCATCTTCTAGACCTATACTGTATAGTATTTATAATGCTTACGTGCATAATTACCTGCTGGCCTGGCTGTAACTCTGCGTAATTATCTCAGAAGACGCACAATTACACACAGCTCATCAGGCCAGAGTTAGCGCTGGCACTCCCACATTTGTGATTAGCACGGAACATTTTCACCCAGGCCTGAATGGAACCTCTAATTGAATGCTGTACAGAATCGATAGTCAGTCGGACATGAGAAAGGTTAGTTTGGATTTCTGCTCTGTTGGCCTTTTCCCCAATTCCTGCAAAACTAAAGAGAGTAGTGGGGTTTCAAATGTAGGCAGTATGTGAATCTACAATGTTAGAGGTACGACTTTTTGAGACAAATATCAGAAGCGGTCTCTGTCAAACAGTGTTAAAGTGACAGATGAAGGCAGATCTACCCAGAATCGCATTTGGATAAGTAAGCACATATTAATAATGGCTTCAAGAGAGCCTTTCATGTGGAGAGAAAGGAGTTCACCGCATCTGTTGTACTTTGTTGACGTTGGAAGCTTTCTGTGACACACTCCAAGACAGGCTTGTTTAACTTTAGGGCTTGGTTCTACAATCCAATATACTGTAGATCTTGAATCCATCAATGTTGAAGAAAACTTTACACAAACATACATTAAATCTTGAAGAATAATGAGCGATAGTATTCAAACTTTGGCCACGGGAATTGCACATAATGACTAGACTCCTTCGCTCAAATTTTACAGCCCACTGATAAAAGAATGGCCCTGCTCTTTGGGTAGTAGTATCTCTGATTAGGGCTGCACAATATTGTAAATTAGAGCGATATTCAATATGAGTGTTTAGTATTGCAATAACAATATTATTGGGATATTTTTTTTTCTTTCCCCTAAAATAGCAATCTGCATTGAAACACAAGAGACATTCAAATACATATATTTCTATACTTTTTTGTTTGTTTGTTGTATTTGTTGAATGTTGATGTCTGTTTTGTTGTCTTTATTAAGAAAAAAAAGAAAAAAAAACAAGAACAGCTATTTTATTTTGCTCGGCCCCTAACCAAAATGAGTTCGGCTCTAGAACAAAAGCTTATGCTTCGGCTGTTCCTTCTGCCACCAAACTCTCTCCATCCATTCCAACCTCTGCATCCCACAAACAACAAATATGTTGAATAATGAATGAGGACATGCAGATGTGAGGGTTAAACTGGGGAGCCCCACATTTGGAGGAGGAGGAGGAGGGGGAGGTGGGGAGACATGACAGCTTCGACTGAACTGGGTCAGGCTACTGGAAGTGTATTTAAACCCCCTCCCCACAGAGGAACGGGGTGACACCAGTGCAGCAGAGGTGAATATGAGGGTTCTGGGGGCGGGAGGAGGCTAATGAAGACATCACCACACGAGCAAACCCAGGATCAAGGCATTAATCACAATGAGAGGTTGTCGAAGGAAGAATTGAGATGTATTCTGAGTGAGTGGGAGATGGGGGGGGAATTAATTTTGCCCCACAAAAGAAGAAATCCTACGCATTATTTTTGGCCATTAACATGGATGAGACATTTATTTTGTCATTTAATATTCAAAATGCTGCACCTCGAGTCTTGACTACAACCAGGAAGTACCATCAGAATCACATTAGTCTAGTTCTGGCGTCCTGTGGCTAAGAAAATATACTTATGTCTAGTAGACTTGCCTTCTAGTAGAATGTCATACATATGCTTAAAAAAAATCTAAAATAGGGCATATGTTTTAAGAATACAGTTTCACAGTCTCATATTAGAGCATTAATAACCTGGATAAGCAGCGCAGACAACACAAAATCACTATCTTGTGTGGCTTTTGCTGAGAAGCTTGTAAGTTGTGATTCTTCAATGATAATGATGAAGGCGAAATTCCTTAAAAACAACCAAAATTCTATATCAAAGTTTTAGTTGTTCATACTTTGCTTTTTTGTTTTTGTTTATTTTTGTGAAAGGTAGTTTACATTACTGCATTTTGATGGTAGAAAGTCAATATTTAAGTCCCACAAAAAACCTAAAACTGTCCTTACCATCGTTGGTACAGTATGTAAAATAGCTGAAAATGTCTAAACTGTTGTATCATTTGCATGTTGTCTATCCTATAAGGTATAATTGACTGTAAACGAAATTGATAATGCACTTAGTTTTCTGTTCTAAAGTGAAAGTAGTTTACAAATGAAACAGTGTTTAAGTTATGTAAATTTGATGAATTTTGTTGTATTGAGAATTTTGTTCCTTATTGAGTTTTTGTTGTTTTTTTCTTCTCTTTTTTCTCTTTTCTTCTTATGGACTTTGAAGTGGAAGTTAAGTTAAATATTGTGATGTAGCAATGGACAATAGGGGTGGGATTCAATAAGTTGTCTTCTTCCCACTCCTTTTCGAGCCAAATCTTTTCTAATTCCTGTACTTATGTACAGCTGTTCTACATTTGTTATTTTTTATGTGATCTGCTCGAAATGAATAAATAAATAAATTAATTAATTAATTAATTAATTAATAAAAAAACAACTGAGAGAAATTAAAAGATGAA